TTGGTTTTAGGGTGACATATAAAATTAAACATTTTACCTTGAAGGTCAAAGATCAAGGTCATCATCCATGGTACGCGACACATCATATTGAGGTGTTGCACTTGTGTGTCAAGTATTAGAAGACTTTGTCAAGGGAGAGGGAAAGGTGTGCTCCAGATTAGAAAATGTAAACAAATCAAGAATTTTGACCTTGAGGTCAAAGGTCAAGGTCATTTGACGGTTTTAATTTTTATGAGATACACTGTCTTTTTGTTATACACCTTCATGCCAAATATCATAAGCCAGTGTCATAAGATAATCAGTTGTCATGATTTAAGTTTTGTGAAAAATACGTGAAAATTACACATTTTTATTCCGTTGCCATGGTAACGGTATAGGAGACCCCAGCTCAAAAATCCTAAAACTTGTAGCACGCATGTAAACCTTTATAGAAATATTTAAAACACTAAAAAAAATCATAGTACTTTAAAAGATGTCATGTCTTTTTGTTGATCGTTTTAGGAAGTATAAAAAAATTTCCAAAATGCCATTTTTAGACCGGTTAGCCCCAAAATATAGCTATACTCAAGCAAAAACATGTTGTCAAGTTTCGAAGGACGAATGATGCTTGTTATAAAAATCAATCCAAATATCAGCTAAACATAATCGTATCTAGCATATTCAGAGTAACAAAATTGTGACATTTTTGTGGAAATTTTGGGAAATTAAGCCTTTTCCAATAGATGGCGCTGCAAAATCTAAAAATAGCCTAAAATCAGGTTTTAAAGATAGATTTGTTTTTCTTGACTATCATAATATATGTGCAAAATTTCATTACATTTGGTTGACATGTCATGTGTACCCACTTATAGACCTTTTGCATGGTTCTATCAAAGACTGGGTGTTTAAAATTGAGTCCGTTCATCAGTAAAATACATATTTAAAAAAAAAATATTTTTTTTTTTAGATGTTATTTCTAGGTCTTGAAGATTAGCGTCTGTCCAAGTTTCATAACAATCCATGAAAATTGAATCTCAGGTTGAACCGTAAAAATCAAAGTCCATCTATCAGAAATATACTAAAAATGAAGAAAAAAATATATATATTTTCAAACATTTGCTTCCGACATTTTCTCTTAATTACTAAAAAGCATCTGCCAAAGTTTCATAAAACTATGAAGGTTTGACAAAGTAATTGATGTACAACAAACGTTAACCCCAGACTGCATCTACTTGTTAACTGTAAAAAAAAACTAAGTCCATTTACCAGTAAAATACGGAAAAATGAAAATAAATATTTTTAAAATTTCACTCTGGATACTGTCTTATGGTCATAAACAAGCTTCTGTCTAAATTTCATGAAATTTCGTGAAGGTTTGATAAAGTTATTGATGACTGAAAAACTTTAACCTCAGACTAAATCTGAATGTTAACTGTAAAAAAAAAAATCCTTCTATAAGAAAAATACGGTAAACTAAAAATAATTATTTTCAAAATTTTGCTCTGGATACATAAACAAGCTTCTGTCCGAATTTCATAAAATTCCATTTAGGTTTGAAAAAGTAATTAATATCTTAAACATTTTTAACCACAGACTGTACCTAAAGTTGACGCCGTCGCCATGTCTCACTTTCGCGAAATAAATTTCGTATTTGGCGCAGTTTTTTAAGAGAAGATTTTTAAATAATTTACGACGACGGACATAGGCTCACATGGCCCTAAGGGATAAAAAAAATATTTTAGACCGTATGTGAAATGTTATAGTTGCAAAAACAAGTACCGTCTTTTCGACCTAGACTATATAGACATATCAAATTTCAGAATAATTTGATTAGAATTGATTGATATTTTAGTCTGAGGAAACCTGATTTTTTTCTTGTTATAATTGGTATTAGACTAGTTTTCAGTAACTGTAAATCGGTACTTTTTCTTTTTGATCGTTGATTTAGTGCCCTTTTATTGGTGACCTTATATTTCAGCAAACATGTATAATTTTTTTAGTCTGTACAATCTTATTTCAGAATTACACAACAATTCAAAACATGCAATTAAAATGATGAATTCTTAATTTCTCTCATTTCAATCCAGAAAAGTCTTATCATATTACATGTATATTGTATTAAAAAATATGCTCACCGTTGCTAAAAAATGATTATGAGGGGAAATGCAGTTTTTGACTTATATCTCAAAACCTTAAGCACTGACATGAAATTTTCACACCATTTGGACAACCCAATGTAAGTTTACTGTCCAGGAATTGTTCATTTTAGGTCACAGATTTTGGTTGCCTTGAACAATATAATAGATAAAGAGACATTGTAAACAGCAAAAGTGTTTAGCAAAGTCAGATCTACAATAAAGCCAAATGACTGAAATTGTAAATTCACCCTTATTGGAGTTATTGTCCTGAACAGATAATTTAAACTGATTTTTTACTTTTTTTGCAGAAAGTATGATGAATAGAAACATAAAAACAATATGATTTTAATTTCCCTCTGTTTTAACTGATTCATTTTCTTTTTTCCTGCAAGTCAAGATTATACAGTTTAAATGAACTGAAAAGATAAAATAAAATCAAACAAAATGTCCACTAATATTTGGATCGCCGTGGATTCGATTCCCAGCCAGTTCAAACCAAAGACAAAAGTTGGTATTTGCTGCTTCCCCAATTAGTTTGTGGCATTTGGAGGTATTATCAAAGATTGGTAGGTCCTAAATAAGAATAATATGTGCGGATAAGGTGACATGTTTTTCCTGTGAACTATTACTCAGTGAACTAGCATGTTACAAATCCGTCTATGTCGGCCTAGTAAAAAGCAGGGTATATAATCATATCTCATAATTATAAGTTCTCACCCTGAACATGCATTTAACTTGCTACTGGACGAACATTCACACCTCATGTTTTATCATATATATATATATGAATAAAACTTAATTCCTATCAGTTCCTTTTGTGGTATTCAAATCTCTTTCCGTGTATTATATCTGGAACACAAATTCTAGGAGTTGCGAGGTGGTAAATTGCATTAATCTTGTTTACTACAAGCGCGGCTTCCTATCGAGTTAGAGTTCGAGTTGAAGTTCGAGTTTAAGTTCGAGAGGATTTTCAAGTTATATTTCGAGTTACTCTTAAAGTTAAACTTCGATTTTGAGTCAAAAGTCGAGTACCAGTTCAGGATAAATTTTAGAACCTCCGAAACAAATCTATAGCAAAGTCTTTGATTATGTAATGGGAAAACCCCTAAAAATAAGTATGACAAAAAAAAAACAGAATAAACGGTGCAGAATATATGGTAAAGATTCTGAAAAGGCACACACCAGGCTGTCTAGCGGTTAAAGAGTAGTAAAGTATATAAAAGAGGGACACAAGGAGAGACGGACGGACGGACTCTCCAATTACTATATCTTTATTCCTCCGCTTTAAAAAGAAGCTTGGGTGTATAATAATAAGTCCTGAAAAATTGAAGAAAATAAAAGAGGTTAGAGAATATCTTTACCTTTAAATAAGAAATAAGACTTATGAATATTTCAGTCTTTTTGTCTTAGATGCATGATTTTTTTATTAGTTGTTATTGGCTTTGAACTTGCTGTCAGTAATTGCGAGTACTCACAGGTCTGTACTTAAATGTCTTATTGTTGTGGGGATGTATAAGTAAGAGTTAAGCCTTTTTTAAAACATTTTTATAGTTTGTTCTTATCTTGTACTGTTACACCACTATCCCAGGTTGGGGCATTGGTTGGGCCCCTGCTAACATGTTTAACCCCGCCACATTTGTATGTGCCTGGTGCCTGTCCCAAGTCAGGAGCCTGTAATTCAGTGTTGTCGTTTGTTTCTGTGTATCATACTTTTTTTTTCGTTCATTTTTGTACATAAATCAGGCCGTTAGTTTTCTCGTTTGAATTGTTTTACATTTGTTATATCGGGACCTTTTATAGCTGACTATGCGGTATGGGTTTTGCTCATTGTTAAAGGCCGTACGGTGACCTATAGTTGTTAATAATAATCGCAATAATTTAAACATTTTAGTTTAAAATAACAAAATCGCAATAATAAATGCACGCAATAATTTCTGAATTTACAGTATCAAGTCAATATCTTCAAGCATGATGAGAAAAGATGTGGAAACTGATTATTTTAGTGAATTTTCCAAGTCCAAGGACCATAACTCTGCAATTCAAACTTGATCTGTAACTTGTCATAACACTATATATACCAATTATCAAATCAATATCTTCAAGCACGAAGAAAAAAGTGCAGAAAACTGAATATTTGAGTGAATTTATTAAGTCCATGGACCATAACTCTGAACAAAATCATCAGAACGGAACAAATTTCAAACTTGATCTATAACTTGTCATAATGAAAATATATACCAAATATCAAATCAATATCTTCAAGCAAGAAGAAAAAAAGTGGAAAACTGATTTGCCGGACTGACGGATGGACAGAGTGCAAACCTAAAGTCACCTTCAACTTTGTCGGTAGGGGTCTAATAACAATAATGGAGTCCTCATGTGTCCACAAATGTGACCGCAACGAATTTGTACAGACATGGGCAACACAACGGGTGCCACTTGTGGTCTGAATCTGCTTATTATCCTTCCACAGCACCTGAGATCCCCCGATTTTTGGGGGTTCCTATTGCTCAGTCTTTAGTTGCCTATGTTGTGTTTTGTAGACTGTTGTTTGTATTTTGGTTGTTTTTATTTTTATTTTTTTTGTAAATAGGCTTAAGCATGTTATCAGATCCATTTCAAAATATTTGTTGAATTTGGAAGTATAATTTTCAAGCAGGTTGTCGGCATTCCTATTGGTATCAATTCTTCAGACACTTGTAAGAAGTAAGAAGATCAAAGACACTAGGTCACACTTTGATTTTGTTATGAAAGTTTTGAAACTTCTAATTCTTAAGATGTGAGGATGGAAAAGATTATGTTTTTCTTCACCAAAACATCTCGTAGTACATTACAAAGACAATACATTTTGCTGTTGTATCATATAAATAGAAAATACTCCAATTGTTTTATGACATAAATTTATTGAAATAATACAGAACAGTACAGTGTGACAATGTCTATGACAAACTTTATAACATTCCTTGTCTCTTCTCCAACAACAAATGAGGCTCACCAACCATTTCTGATTCATATGGACCTAAAAAAAAAAAAAATATTTTTATAAAAAATTCAAACATTTTGATAATAAAATGCTCCGCTGGGCGCAGCTTGATACGAACGCAGAGGTTGAACCCTGAACAGTTGGGGCAAGTATGGACACAACATTCAAGCTTGATATATACAGCTCTGAATTTGGATTGTGATTAAATATTTGACACAGCATAGGTTTCTGACACAGAATGAACTTAATAATTTTTAATTTACCTATTATGGTCCAATATCCAAAATCTAAATACATGGTTAGATTCAGCATATCAAAGAATCCAAAGAATTCAATTTTTGATGAAATCAAACAAAATTTAATTTTGGACCTCAATGTGGACCAATTTGATAACGGGGCCCAAAAATCAAAATACATGATTAGATTCAGCATATCAAAGAACCCCATATATTCAATTTTTGTTGAAATCAAACAAAGTTTAATTTTGGACCCCAACTTAGACCAACTTGAAAACTGGGCCCATAATCAAAAATCTAAACACATTTTTAGATTCAGCATATCAAAGAACCCCAAGAATTCAATTTTTGTTAAAATCAAACTAAGTTTAATTTTGAACCCTTTGGACCTTAATGTAGACCAATTTAAAAAAACAGGACCCAAAATTAAAAATCTAAATACACGGTTAGATTCAGCATATCAAAGAACTCCAATAATTCAATTTTTGATGAAATCAAATAAAGTTTAATTTTGGACCCTTTTGACCTCAATATGAACCAATTTGATAGCGGGGCCCACAAATAAAAAATCTAAATACATGGTTAGATTCAGCATATTAAAGAACCCCATATATTCAATTTTTGTTGAAATCAAACAAAGTTTAATTTTGGACCCCAATTTGAACCAACTTGAAAACTGGGCCCAAAGTCAAAAATATAAACACATGGTTAGATTCAGCATATCAAAGAACCCCATCTATTCAATTTTTGTTAAAATCAAACTAAGTTTAATTTTGGACCCTTTGGACCTTAATGTAGACCAATTTGAAAACTGGACCCAAAATTAAAAATCTAAATACACGGTCAGATTCGGCATAACAAATAAATAAATGTGGTCGAAGATTTTACAAATCTAATGCGCCATACTGTGCAATTAAAGATTACTTCTTGAAATTTTTCAATATTTGAAATTTATAAAAAATAATATTTGAAGAATAATTCTTTTTAATTTCTGAAATCTGAAATGAGAAAAAATTGACCCCCCACAATTTCTTTTTACCCCCCCCCCTTTTTTCCCCCCAAAAAATTCTTTCTCTCAAGATATGGTCATAATCTCAATTCATATTTCCAATGGAATTTGCAACCATAATTACCCATTTAAATTTACCATAGTGCTAACTTAATCTATTTTATAATAGAATTTAAAATATGGTGTCAAATCTTTCATATGGATTTTTTTGTAAAAAAAAAAAGATGCAACATTTGCAGATATTTTTACTGGTCTTCCTTTAAACATAATTTAAAAGCAGTGTAAGGGTAGTAATCAAAATGTTGTATTTGGATTACCTCCCTTACACTGTTTTAAATTGTCTTAATTGTTCATTAACCATTACTTTATACATAATTTAAAAGCAGTGTAAGGGAGGAAATTCAAATGATGTATTTGATTTATCTCCCTTACACTGCTTTAAATTATGTTTTGTACTATAGTATTTGTCCATTAACCAGGACAACCTTGTTTTCCCCCCTTTTTTGCCCCTTATTCCTAAACGGTTTGAACCATAACCCCCAAAGCAAATCCTAACAATCCCTTTGTGGTATGGAAACTTGTGGTATAATTTCAGAGAGATCCATGCACCGTTCCACAAGTTATTGTCTGGAAACTAGAAAATGCTTATTTTTGGCTCCTTTTTGGCCCCTAATTCCTTAACTATTGGTACCATAACCCCCAAAATCGATCCCAACCTTTCTTTTGTGGTATTAAACCTTATGGTAAAATTTCATAGAGATCTATTCACTTAAACTAAAGTTATAGTGCGAAATCCAATGTGTCTTCAAAAGACGACGACGACACCAACGTCATACCAATATAAGACAAATTTTTGCGGTCGTATAAAAAGGTGATTAACATTATTAAGCTAGCTGGCTATTCGACTAACAGTACTAGCTTCCTAGCTTACATCACCTACTAATGTATCATATAATACCAGCTTGACCAACACACAATAAATGCGGACTCTTAATTATAATGAAGGTCAAAATATAGACTACAGCAAAAACTTTTGACGAGATCAATACGTTATATATGGACCTGTTAGATTATACTGACACTCAGACTTTGTCCTCGGTCAATATATAATCTGAACAGGTCCATATATAACGTATTGATCTCGTCAAAAGTCCATAATTGATAAATGTTGATAGCATATGACATTTTTACAATCTAATTTGATACCTTAATCAAGTTTTTCCTTGGAATCAATCTGAAAACCGTCAAGCATATAAAAATAATATCAATGAAAGTTTCAGTTATATTGTAGTGTCTGTAGACCCTACTTTATTTCCAAAGAAATACTAATTGTCTTGCAATAAATTCTTTAATTGATCTTTTTTCTTCTGCAGAGTGATGGTTAGAATGAAAATAAATTCAACCATCCTGGGAGAGATAGTTCCAAGTTTCATACAATTCCATGAAGATGAGAAAACGTTATTGAAGTTTTAAAAAAACCACAAACTGAACATAAAAACTGAAGCTGTCAACAACGGAAAGTAGGATAGCTATGTCTTTATTCCGTGACAAAAATCATTACTCATGCTTGTACCAAGAGAAATAACTCATTACTATTTATCTAGTTCACAGGAGATTATTATCTTTCTCACACATTCTGGCAATTATCTATATAAATGGTAATGTTAATCCCTACCCACATCCACTCCTGCCTCTAGACATGCCTGTCTCAGATAGTACTAATTATAGTCAATCACTAATCGGTAAGTACATTGTAAAGTACTTCCTTCCTTAACTACTTCTATTACTCATAAACCGACTATACTGATTTAACAACAAAATAATAACGTAGAGCATTAAGTTCAAACAAAAGATAAATAGGTTTGTGAAGCTGAGTCGGAAGTTTTTATTGTGTAGTATTTTGAATGCTGCTGTGTGTCTTTATGGCCATAGTATTGTATGATTTTCCCTGTCCTTTATGGCCATAGTATTGTATGATTTTCCCTGTCCTTTATGGCCATAGTATTGTATGATTTTCTCTGTCTTTATGGCCATAGTATTGTATGATTTTCCCTGTCCTTTATGGCCATAGTATTGTATGATTTTCTCTGTCCTTTATGGCCATAGTATTGTATGATTTTCCCTGTCTTTATGGCCATAGTATTGTATGATTTTCTCTGTCCTTTATGGCCATAGTATTGTATGATTTTCCCTGTCTTTATGGCCATAGTATTGTATGATTTTCTCTGTCCTTTATGGCCATAGTATTGTATGATTTTACCTGTCTTGTAATTTTTGATTGTCCCTTTAGTATCTGCAACTCTATTTATTTTTAAGATGGATTATCAAATTTCTAGCACATTTATTATCTGAATATATAGTGATTGGTATCACTGGAGAAAATAACACTTTATTCTATAAGGTAATGTACCATTGTTGCTGTCGTAAATGCATATGTATATCTTTATTTAAGAAATAATTCTTTCATGCCATGTTCTATGCTCATTTTAACATGGGTAGGCATTATATTTGTCAATATCTTTATACCAAGCATTAGGGAGGTGTAAAATGTTGACAAATATAATGCCTACCCATGTTAAAATGAGCATAGAGCATGGCATGATAGAATTATTTTGATTCTAATAGGAAAATTTAGAACTTCGGTACTTCGAAGCAGACCTATAATACACATTCAAAAGGCAGCAATTTTTATTTTATGAGGCCAAAACGTTGTAGAAAATCAATCATGTGACGATAAAAAATGAACAGATAAATGTAAACTTACTTTAAGAAAGATTTTATTTAATTTCCTAGCGAGCAACACCAACACAAAATGTCCATTTTAATCTCCGGCGTTGTTCAAAATACAACTGACATCGCAATTTCAATTGTGACCTCAATCACATGCAGCCCATGTTTTATTGGAATTAGAACATGGCTTTATTTCCAAGAACGTCATATTATAGAATAGGCAATAAAAAATGTGATGTTTTCCTTTTACTCTACTGGACTAATTTTTATTGGTAGTATTTTTTAACTGGTCTATTTAGACCCTTCAAGATTAAGACTTGTTTTTATAAGCAGCAAATTCTTGGCATAAAATTTTTGAACTTTTGGTAAAAAATGCTATGAATGTAATTGGGCATAACTCTTCTTGTTTGAATTGTTTTTTTTACATTTTATCATGTAAGGGCCTTTTAGAGTTTACTGTGTGGTATGAGTTTTGCTCACTGTTGAAGGCTTAACACCAATATGAAGTATCAGTTCAATTATACCAGCTAGGAATATCTAAAAACATCAATCTAATACTATGAAAGTACTTTTATTCTTGGGTATCAATTTTCGTGGATTGAGCAAAATTTACATGTTCGTGGGTTTTTAAATTTGTGGATTTTAGTTTTCTGAAGAAAAAAATTGGGTGAAGAATTTGAACCCATCAGAAACAAAGATTCTTGAAAATAATCATATGATGTTCAATCTCACTTTCTTGTTTGTCTTTCGTTACTGACAACATTCATCATTTTTTTAATAAAATAATTGCTTTCAAATAAGCTGATTCATCTCTGAATACAAATTGTCTGATTGAGGGAAATTGCAAAGTAAATATTTTAGTTGTTGCACACATGTAATCAGAAGTTATGTCACTAATTAACCCAAGATCGCATGATCAACAGATTAACGATCATCAAAGGTGTTAATTGGGCCATAAACATGACACATAAAGAAAAAAGTCGCACAAAAAATACTCATATGTACTTTGAAATAATACTTATGAAATAAAACAGCAAGCCCAATATGAAATTATTATATTTTTTTGTGAGAGAACTGTGAGGAGATGAAAATTATATCCATGTATCTTCACCGGTAGTCTGACTTTTATTTCTAAAAAACTAATTTTTCATGAAAATTAAAAGATTAAAAGTCATAGAACTTGTCCTGTCTGATGTTGTACATATAGTTCATTAAGTGTGTTTGCTGATATTCAATGTATTCTCTAGATTATATGCCCTTATCCATGTAGTCAAACTTACAGGGGATCTTGATTTGGACAACAGTTGTTATATTTGGTTGGACACTTAAATTCGTGGATAAAGCCATCCACGAAAATTGGTATACCCCACGAATAAAAGTACTTTCACAGTAAACCAACACTACTTTTTTACCATTTTCATAATGGAAAACAAATTGATTTTTTCTTGGCCCTTATTAAATTTAATATGTCTATAAACTTACTATTAAATATGTCATCGAAGTTGATGAGATCATCTCTACCAGTAAGTGTATCTAACATTGTATTGGAACTTGCTAAGCATGGTAGACGACCCATCTGTTAAAATAAGATAATCATTCTACAAACAAATATTTAAAAAAAGACAAAAATTAAAGTAGATCATTTCAAGTACTGCACTGTAAAATTCTTCAAATTATTTTCACCTTTTCAGAGATGCACTAAATAAATGGTACTTTTCTTCCTTTTTATTAACCATCTGCATTTCGTTTTAAATAATAAAGTAGAGAATGGAAACAGGGAATGTGCCAAAGAGACAACAACCTGACAAAAGAGCAGAAAACAGCCCAAGACCACCAATGGGTCTTCAACACAGAGAGAAAATCCAACACCCAGAGATGGGCTTCAAAAGTAAATTCACTTTATACCTTAATAGCAATAAACATGTTTACTGTTATTTAGTTGATTTCACAGTCTGTAAAATCTGTGTAAACTGTAGAGTTTGTTTTACTTTTATGCTGTGAAAACGAATACGGAAAATATAAATATCTTTTAGTCTATTGATTAATTGTGTCCTTGAGTTGCTGTCTCAGTTGACATTTATCCAACAGGTAAATCTTATCATGCTTATCAAAAGAAGTATCAACAACATGCTACCTCAAAATAATAAAATGCTCCGCTGGGCGCAGCTTGATACGACCGCAGAGGACGAACCCTGAACAGTTGGGGCAAGTATGGACACAACATTCAAGCTTGATACATCTCTGAAATTGGATTGTGATTAAATATTCGACACAGCATAGGTTTCTGACACAGAATGAATGTGGTCTAAGAACTTAAAAAATTTTAATTTACCTATTCAAACCATATCATTATTATTTGCTTTTATATATAAATCAGAAATAACCAACTTAAAATGGAAAATTTTAAAGAAAAAAAAAAGGAAAAAAAGGAAAAAAATCCCCCACCCAAATTTTTTGAACCCCCTTATGATTCATCACCCCCAAACTCAATCCCAGCCTTCCCTTTGTGGTATGGTACCTTGCAGTACAATTTCCAAGAGATCCATACACTTGAACACAAGTTGTTGTCCTGAAACTAGAAAAATGCTTGTTTTTTTGCCCCTTTTTGGCCCTTTTTATTCCTGAACGTTTTGGGCAATTACCCCCAAACTCAATTCCAGCTTTCCCTTTGTGATATGGAACCTTGTAGTACAATTTAAGAAAGATCCATACACTTACACACAAGTTATTGTCATGAAACTAGAAAAATGCTTTTTTTTGGCCCCTAATTCCTAAAATTTTGAGGCAATTACCCCCAAAATCAATCCCAGCATTCCCTTTGTGATATGGAACCTTGTGGTACAATGTCAGAGATATCCATACACTAACACACAAGTTATGTCTGGAAGTTACAAAAATGCTTATTTTTGGCCCCTAATTCCTTAACTGTTGGTACCATAACCCCCAAAATCAATCCCAACCTTCCTTTTCTGGTATTGAACCTTATGGTAAAATTTCATAGAGATCCATTCACTTAAACTAAAGTTATAGTGCGAAAACCAATGTGTCTTCGGACGATGACGACGACATACCAATATACAACCGCAAAATTTTTTTGCGGTCGTATAAATATTTGTAAGGGGTTCCGCGGAACCCAGTGTCTCACCTGTGATTGCTGCTGTCAGTGTAAAAGTGTAATACTGTGGATTCATTATTATTCGTTGGATACCAATTTTCGTGGATTTCGTGGCTACAGAGAAACCACGAATTTAAATGTTTAATGGATAACAAATTTGCTGTATGATTATATGCAGATTTTTGAAAAACCACGAAATCAAATATCCACGAAAATACAAGTTTTCCTCAATCCACGAAAATTGGTACCCACGAAAATAAATGAATCCACAGTATTGACTTTAAAAAGTGAGTCCATTTATCAGTATAATACAGAAATTTAAAAAAAAAAATTTTTTTTATTTAGATGCTATTTCTTGGTATTGAAGATTAGCTTCTGTCCAAGTTTCATAACAATCGATGAAGGTTTACAAATTTATCATGTCTAAAAAATGTAATGCCAGACTGTCTGATAATGTTAACTGTAAAAAACTATGTCCAGCTATCAGAAAAAAACTGAAAATGAAAAAAATACATTTTCAAAAGTTTGCTTCAGACATTATCTCTAAATCACTGATACTGGTTCTTGTTTTGATACGGAATATCCTGCCTGTCTGTATAAATTCTTATAGTTATATTGGAGGAAGCATACAATGTAAACTTTATGTATTATGGATCTGTTTAGCAGTGTTAATAATAAATCTATTGTTTAAAGGAGCATTTCATTTATGTCTAAATTTAATCCTGTTTGCTTACAAATTCCATGCGTAAAAATTTGAATATAGAATACACTGTAGTATGAATTGATAGTACGTACATGTTTGGCTGTATGAATTGATAGTACGTACATGTTTGGCTGTATGAATTGATAGTACGTACATGTTTGGCTGTATGAATTGATAGTACGTACATGTTTGGCTGTATGAATTGATAGTACGTACATGTTTGGCTGTATGAATTGATAGTACGTACATGTTTGGCTGTATGAATTGATAGTACGTACATGTTTGGCTGTATGAATCTCCATCTGTAGTTTGAGTGGTGCATGTAATCCCTGTGTATTACGTAACATAGAAAAGTCCATTGTTCTTTTGTTCTCATCCCACTGAAATTAATAAAACTATGCAATAATAAACTGCACAGAGATATGTCTCGCCTCTTAGTAATTTTGATAATGCAAATGTTGAAATTAAAATAGCAATACTTCAACATTGTAAACTATGTAAAAGTTTCAAAAGCAATGAACCATGATGAGGGGTAAGCTATATAATCTCCATGGAAACAAGACTTGCAAATGCCAATACATTTGCATACCAGATATCATTGACTTAAAAATTAGGTGGTTCTTCTTAAACTGATCTAATCACAAACTAATACATGTAAACTAAGCAAAAGTTTCAAAGTCAATAGACCATGACTGAGGGGGCGGGGCCATGGAAATGAGATGTGATAATGCTTAACATTGGCCTTCCACTAACGGTTCCCCTTAAACTGACCTAATCACAAACTAATACATGTAAACTAAGCAAAGTTTCAAAGTCAATAGACCATGACTGAGGGGCAGGGCCCAATAATCTCCATGGAAATGAGATATGCCAATGCTTATACAACTGCCTACCAAATGTCACTGACCTACCACTAGTGGTTCACCATAAACTGACCTAATCACAAACTAATACATTGTTGACGCCGCCAACAACGCCAGAAACAGCATACCTATGTCTCGTTTTTTTACTCCGTCAAGGCGAGACAAAAACTGATATTAAGGGGCTGTTCTTTAATAATTTAGATAAAACAGTTTTTAATCAAGTTAAGCTTAATTCCCATATACATGTAGACAGTGCTTTATTAACTGAATAACCATAAAATGCTGACTGATTACACAACCATGCTTCATTTGAGATCTTGATTTCGACTTTTCTCATCTTTTTATATAAAAACATAAAACATAGGCATAATAATATTAAGGTTGTTTCAATGGAAAATTGAAGTGTTATCTCTGCTGATTCCTTCAGACTTATTCAATTCATGTGAGAGTCTGAAAAATGTATACTTCAACAAATTCAGCAAAAATAACCTTCATTTTAGTGTGCTTAGACTAGTCTCAGTCTAATGAGTCAAGCCCTTTCAATTTGATTTTTATAGTGTGCTGTTACATTACTGTTCCCTGTTAGGGGAGGGTTGAGTGCTCCCAAACTTGTCTAACCAACCAAGATGCATTCTTTATGCACATTTCCCAAGTCTGTAGCCTGTAATGCAGTGGTTGTTGTTGGTTGCTGTCTGCTTGTTTATTCATTACTTACAATACCAAAAAATGCTTTAAATGATAATTTTCAGAATAAAATAAATGGATATTTACAGAACTCTATACTTGCAATGTCATGGATAATTTTCATTATGTTGACAAATGCTAGTCAAACTCATGTGCAACATCATGAAAGTAGAAAATGAAATTATAAACTATCTGTTTGGGGTGGGTTCTTAAGAAAAAAATTTGTAAGGGTTCCGCGGAACCCAGTGTCTCGCCTACTTTTGCTGTTAATCGCAGGCTCAACAAAAGTGAGATGAGGAAAAAATTTAATAAAAATATTCCTCTCGATAAATTTTTTTATTGTAAGAAGCTTCTGTCCAAGTTTGGTAAAAATCCAGGATAGTTTATGAATCTAATAAATGTTTTAAAAAATTTAACTGCAGACTGTATGTAATGTTAACTCGAAGAAAAACTAAGTCCATTTATAAGTTAAATATGGATAAACAAGTACAAAATTTTAATAAAAATTTCCTTCTAGATACTAGCTTTTGATCATAAACAAACTTCTGTCCATGTTTGGTACAAATCCAGGATAGTTTAAGAAAGTTATTAAAATTTTTAAAACTTTAACCACAGAGTGAATGTAATGTTTCCTGGCAGAAAAACTAAGTCCATTTATAAGTAAAATAAGGAAAAACAGGAATTTTTTTTTTACAAAATTTACTTCTGGATACTATTTTATGATCATAAACAAGCTTCTGTCCAAGTTTGGTAGAAATCCAGGATAGTTTAAGAAAAGTTATTAAAATTTCAAAAACTTTAACCACAGAGTGAATATTTGTGGCCGCCGCCGCCGCCGACGGAATGTAGGATCGCTATGTCTCGCTTTTTCGACAAAAGTCGAAGGCTCGACAAAAAACACACAAAGCTTAGCTATTCTGGAAAGTCAAATGCATTTCAAAGAAAATTTCAACAGTGAGCATACATGTTTTTCTGAATATTCCAAGGGATGGACTGCTCTCTCTAATTTTCTTCCTGGTTGTAAACTGAAAGTAAAGAAATAATTAAGATGATTTTATCCATAAAACTCAAAATCTTAAATCCAGTTTATTATATATTGTTTCTCATGTTCAAGAAGAATAAAGAATCATATGAATGCAAGGTAGCTAATGAAATAGCAAACCCAAATACAATTTTCAAGAGACTGAAGACTCAGTGCTGAAGTGTATGGATGGTTATAATGCATTAACATACATGTACAATATATCAATGACCTTTCACAAATATTTCTTCATAAAGTTTGAAAGTCATAGGAGCATGACTTATAGAAAGGAGCTTCATACATATAAGTTGCATGTGATTGAGATATTGTTGATGCTAATACAATTGTACACATATATATATATCAAATATAAAAGATCTATCAAAAGTACTTCTTCTGATACTTTAAAATAAATTAACATTAGATATTGATACATGTAAATGTAAATGCTAGAATATCAGCACAGGTCGACGTCTCACTTCGCTCATTTTTGTTCCAGGCAAGACAAAATAGAAAAAAAGACGATATAGTACAAATATATTTAATTTCAAATGTGGATGATCATCATTTCATATATTTCTCTTCAAAATGAACTGTTCCAAGTGTTGCAAATTGAGGGATTGGGGTAACTTATGTATTATGGTCATGCTCATTTATATATACATGTATTTTGCGCGGATGTTTTTTCTTTTGTTTTTAGGGTTGGGGTTTGGTGTGCAGGGGCGGATTCAGACGGGGGCGTGGTGAGCGTGTGCCCCCCTAAAATTTGCAAAGCATGGGTTGTCCTCAGAATATTTCGATAATTTTACCTCAAAAAAATTTAAGTTTGCGCCCCCCTAAACTAAAATCCTGGATCCGCCCCTGATGTGTTTTAGTCTCCTTTGGGTATACCCAACATCTTTTTTTATTTATACACATGGTAAAGATTTCTTATAGAGTAGAGTATATAACATAAAATTCTCTTACCCATGAAGCATGACATTAGGAACTCCATATTGTCCTTCTGGAATATCAACAGTGTGTTGTCCTCTGACTGAGGGTCTAAGGGAGGGATAATTCTACAAAAAACATTGTGGTAATAAAGAATGAAAAGTACAACTATACAATAAGAAGATTTGGATTTATTTGGGTGACTCAGGTTTTCCTCCCAGTAAAATTATGAAATACAGCTTCTCAAAAATCTAATTGGTATAATTTCTTGTAAAATTGTAGGAATACAGGTAGTAGCCGTTTGAGGGTTTTTTTAGATTCTTCATTCTTTTTTTTATAGATACATGTATATTCAGATTTTAATTCATTTTTTGTGAGATATATTCCATCTGTCTCCCAAAGTTTTTTTTCATGAACATTTTTTTTTTCTGTATGTACATGATGTATATACATTTTAGTACATGATCTACCAGCTATGTGTATATATTATCCTGGGATAAAAAAAAATATAAATTCAACATTGTTACAGAGGAATCTTCAACTTATTTTCAAATATATTATACTTATATTAGATTGGAATATATGTCTTTAACAAAAAAGTCTCCTGATCTCACATTCTGTACATAAATTAATTCATGTTATGAATCAGAACTATTTGATTATTATCTTTTATAACTCTTACTTATTCAACATGTTCAAGGAGTTGCAAACAATGGTTTAAGTCTGAAACCTAATGAAGGAAAGACATTTCTTAACTTTATCCCAATAATTTCATTTTCTGACTTCTGAATATCAATGCTAAAATTTCACTTAAAATAAATGATTTTAAACACCCTTACAGATCAAGAGAACAAGTGAGAATTTCCTGTTGTTAATTATCATGATTGTAACAAAATATTTACTTTTAGAATCTCAAGTCACTTGACTTTGGTGTCATGTCAAAGGTCACACATGAAATAAGTACTAAAGTCAATAAGGAAATCATGCTTCTGTTTAAAATAATCCCATGTTCAACAAGTTCAATAATCAATGTTATCAGTTTTCCAAACACTGCAAAATTACCAAAATATTAACTTAAGCAAGTGGACATGATCTTGTCCTCGTTTAAAAAAAATGTACATTTTATCATTGTTTACATTTGCAGCAAATTATAAATCCACAGCTGCACTCTCCTATCTGAAAATTGTACACTCAATGAATCAATAGAGAATTACTGCATGCAATGCTTCCAATGATTTCCCTTAAAACAAGGCAGATTTTTGTATCTAGGATACAAGAAGATTAATTGAGTTGATATTTTCATTGTTTTAAGGTTAAAATTATTATATTTTAATTAAATAAAACTTTAATAAGAAAAAAAAGTTACCTGAAGATCATGTTTCTTTGATAATGTAACATAAAATAACATGAATAATGTCTGCCATAAAAATTTCATAGAAGATATGAAATAATGTAGTTAGGCCAGACTTAAAAATATTTCCATAAATATTTATATATGGCCCAAACCCTACCCATCAGTCTCAGGTGTGGGTAGGTAGGTAGGGAAATTTTTTTTTTTTTTTTTTATACTTTAAGAGAAAAATAGGGGTCAAAATTATTTTACCTTGTAAACAACTTTTAAAATGAAAGACTATTATAGAGTTTTGTATTGGTTCCTCAAAATCAGGCTAAAACGAGTGTCCTGATCAGTCAGAGAGTCACACAAATTTAATCAGTTTTCCGTAGCTTGAAATCGTCATCACACACTTCATAAACACCTCTTTCCATGTTTTTGTGTTTTCAAAACAATAGAGTTTGTTGGAAACTACGGGTTTTGATTTTAATCCAACCTTTATTTGTACTGATTTAGAGACGGTAACATGTTGTTTTTCATCCGTATCAATTGGAGGCTTTTAACCTAATATTTGCGCCATGAAAGAAAATATCTGTAAATCCAAAGTTTATATTTTTATCACTGAAAATTGATACCTACTTTCGGGTATAATACCCATAAATGAGGAAAGTATCCATTTACATGGATCCTTCCCAACCTGTTATATATGTTTGTCATTGTCAATAAAATAAAACATTTTAATGATATAATTGTCCAAAATATTAGTATTAATATTATAAACTCCCTAACATGAAAAAATTTCACAACAATCCATCATTAAAATATTGTCTCAACATTCACAAAATGTAACTTTAGACAACCTCTCTTAAAATTTCACTGCTATAAACATTGATAAATCTATGAAATATTGTCCATATATAGAGACAAAATTTCACATGGAAAGTCCTTCTCAAGAAATTTTTTCATAGATGAGAACACAATATAATGTCAATATGATACATTATCATGCAATATTGTCTTGAGGACACTTTTTCATATGAAAATACATGTATTTTGTTTTACATTTAATTGAAAATGACGTCATATACAAAATGCCTAACAACAGGAACAACATCAGAAAACTTACGTAATTCAATTCATTTTTCAACAGAAATCATGCAGCTGGGAATTCAATTTTATTGCTATTTGACAGAAAGATATTTATTGTTCAGTCCTCAGTCATGAACAGGTTGGGGAAGATCCTAATATTAACACGAATAATGGTTATTATCCACATCCATTGGGTATAATATCCTAAATCAGGTGTCAATAAAATAGGTGTGTTTCTGGTAGCCCAACCTCATACATGTGATGGACCGTGAAACTCAGATCATGAGATTAGGACTCAGATCAGGAGATTTTTTAACGACTTAAATTTTGTCGTAAATGTAACCATGTGATGTAGAAATTGTCTTTTAAAGTGTTTTTTCTTCAACTTTCCATCCAAATGTAATATGTTTATAGTACCCTTGTAATTTCCTTGTAATTTTCTTTATCTTTATTAAATTCTAATAATCTTCCTTTTATTTCAGAACATTCTTTAAATTCTTTCATTTCACACATCTTTATTCAATAGCACAATCACTGCTATTAGATTCTTTTCCGATTATAGAAATGTCTTTCATGCAGGAAAATTATCCAGGGAAGGTCATACTTATATAAATTTTAATTTAAGCCTTGAAAAGAAGTATAGAACCAACAAATGGTTTCCAAATTATTATTTTTTTATTTGTCCTAAGACATTTCAAATTATTTAATTACCATCCTTTTATGACTATTTGTTCAATTTATATTTCATTTATATTCTTTTAACAATTTACATTATTAAAAGAAAGTAACTTAAAACAGGATAACTCAAGGGAAGTAACCCAAAATTTATTTCAATTATTTTTAAATACACAAAGTTTTTGTTACACAACAGCAGTTAGCCTGAGGTAAAAATCATTGATTACCAGTATGTTTGACCCCCAAGCTGGCAAGTGAAGCCATATAATAAGGCATGTTAATTGATTTACAGGTAAAATTTAACTTCAGGTAATGTCAGTTACACCGGATATGGCGGCTGAAGTTTTCATTCATGAAATATTTCATACACTGGATTTTTTTCTCTTAAACGGGAGGACACCCCTGAAAACAGGATTATTGTACTCCCGACAGGAGGTTCACATGTATGCAACCTACCCTAACTTTTTTAAACAAAAAAATAGTAAAAAATCAGAAATTCTTGATGTGAGTGGAAAAAAATCTTTTCCTTTAGCATATCCCAAAATTGCTCTTCCTTTCACATATCCAAATCGTCTGGGTTTAAATAGAGCTACATGTATTTGTAAAAGTGCTTTTTGTGACTGAATGTTAATAAACTAATGGCTGGCTACATAACTAGTGTGCTCGCAGTTCAGTTGATGAGATGCAACATAAACTTGATATACAAACGTTCATGACAGTTTTAGGCTCATATATATTCAAACTTCAGTGTTCCTGTGCTTCCTTTGTATTCCTCTGATACTGATAGTTGATGTGTTTCCCTCTCTTTTAGTTTGTAACCCGCATTTGCTTTCTCTCAATCGAATTATGACTTTTGAACACTGGTATACTACTGTTGCCTTTATTTCATAAGAACTTTGTCTGACGGACAATATGTCACGAGAGACATTATTTCATGTTTACAAGAACAGGTGCTAGGGCGAACGTGATTCGAGAAGCAGAAAGCATATAAGGCACAAAATGTGCACCAGAATTAAGTTACCTTGTTTTGTAACCCCCATTGACATAATGGTTACATTGGTTACATTGGTTACACTCATACAAACTATCATAAATCATCATATATTCAGAAATTCTCAAATCCTGGTACATTTGTAACCTCCATTGACCTAATGGTTACATTGGTTACACTGGTTACACACATGCAAGAATCCTTTATGCCATCATGTTACCATGGCAACCCCTTTATTAATCGATGTGAGGTTACATAAGTCAGTCAGGTTACAATGGTTTAGGTGAATTAGGGTTACAATGGTTACATCCATGGGGATTGAGGGTTACAATGGTTACATGCATGGGAAATCAGGTTACAATGGTTACATGCCTGGGGAAGTCTAGTTAAAATGGTTACATACATGGAGAATGAGGGTTACAATGGTTACATACATGGAGAATCAGGTTACAATGGTTATATGCATGGAAAAGTCAGGTTACAATGGTTACATACATGGAGAATTAGGGTTACAATGGTTACATACATGGGGATTGCTGGTTACAATGGTTACATGCATGGGAAATCGGGTTACAATGGTTACATACATGGGGATTGCTGGTTACAATGGTTACATGCATGGGAAATCGGGTTACAATGGTTACATACATGGGGATTGCTGGTTACAATGGTTACATGCATGGGAAATCAGGTTACAATGGTTACATGCATGGGGAAGTCAGGTTACAATGGTTACATACATGGGGAAGTCAGGTTACAATGGTTACATGCATGGGAAATCAGGTTACATGCATGGGGAAGTCGGGTTACAATGGTTACATGCATGGGAAATCAGGTTACAATGGTTACATGCATGGGAAAGTCAGGTTACAATGGTTACATACATGGGAAATCAGGTTACATGCATGGGGAAATCGGGTTACAATGGTTACATGCATGGGAAATCAGGTTACAATGGTTACATGCATGGGAAAGTCAGGTTACAATGGTTACATACATGGAGAATGAGGGTTACAATGGTTACATGCATGGGAAATCAG